TATCTTAAAAAAATAATTTTAACTATCCCATTGTGAATGCTCTTAACCCAGAAGAAGTAGTAGTCATAATTGGTTATTGATGGTCAAAATAGTAGTTGAAAATGATCATTGAGATATGGTAGCTATTGAGTATCTTCAATTTTTATTAAATTTTCATGAAATTTTTAATGAATATTTTGTTGAAAATAAGGTCTAATCTTTTTATTAAACTTGTATTAAATCAAAAGAGAAATAAATTTTTCATCAAATCAATGATGAGCCAAATGTTTCACTATATTTTCAACAAGTTTTTTTTTTTTTTTTACATGTATACTTAAATTTGATGAAATTGTTAAAGATTAGGATTGGCCTTTGGCTTTTTTTTAACCAAAATTAATAAAAAATGAGAATGGGCAAAGTGATTTGATTTGAGATGGGTAATTATTTTTTGGGAAATTATAAAAAAAATCTCAAAGTTTGAGCTATGGTTTGGTTAACATTTTGGAGTTAAATAATCATAAAAAGATAAAATATGTTATAAAAGTCAATAAGATAAAATATTACTTTTTACTTATAATCATTACATTTTTTCTCTCACAAAAGTAAAAAAAAGTCCCAAAATAAAAATCAAACGAGGCTAAAAAAGTCTCAATATAAAAAAATTGGCTAAAAAAGCCAATGCCAAACAAATCCTAAATCTCTAATAAAATAAATCCTAAATTTTTAATTTTATCAATTTAAATATTAATCTTTTAATTTATTTTTAATTTAAGTCATTCATCTATTTTTATTAAGTAAAATTGACAAAAAAAAATAAAATATTTTAGTCATTAAACTCAATATAGATATAAATAAAATGTCTAAAATACTCATTTTTATTAAATTTAATGATTAAAATATCATTTTTTTATCAATTTTACTAATAAAAATAGATAAATAATTTAAATTAAAAAAATATTTAAAATTTAAATTAATAAAATAAAATTTTTATATTTAATTTGTTATAAGAGCCAAATCTGTTATAAGAGCCCAATCATATGATTTTTTTTTATTTTTGTATTTTTTTAATTTTATTTTTTGTGAGGTTGGTAATTAATTCAAGTGAAATTAATTTTTTTAAAGTATGGCCTCTCGCCACACACTTTCAGTGCTAACCTACGCACACCGCACTAACTTCCCGTCCTATTGCTGCCGTACATTCCATCATCAATCTCACAATCCGTTTTCTCCAACTCCCTCGCTTGCTATCAGAGAGAACAGGATCTCTCAACAGTTACGTGTGTATTTTTTTATTAAAAAAAATTAATAATTGTAATTAATTAAATTAAATTAATAATTACAAGAACCAAATGATAAAAGAACTAAAATATAGGGACTATTAATATAATTTATTTGATAAATTTTAGCTTATTTTCTTTTGTACATTCTTCAAAATTGACATAATTTAGTTTTTTAGAATAATTAGTCAAGGTAACTTAAAAAGTAAAACTTAAAAAAAAAATATTGCGTCAAAGTTGAAAACAATTCAAGAAAGACATAAAAATAAAAAATAAAAAAGTAAAAAAAGTTTAGGTAAGGTAATGTTTATAATTTATTGTTTTTCATTTACAGAAATTGACTTGTTTATTGCAAATTTATAAGTTAAAAATTGATAATAATAATAATAATAATAATAAATCTAGCAACACAACTCCGTCACCAATTATTAAATAATTATTTTTTTTAAATTTATTTAAACTTTTATATTTAATGAATTATAAATAAAAGTTATATGAAATAGTCTAACATAAACTTCTAAAATAAAGGCTATAAGTTGCAGACAAAAAAAAAACTTAAACATTTATTTTTTCAAAAATAAATGAAAATGAAAATATGTTAGATACACAGATGTGTTTAAAGAACAAAAAAAATAAAAAGTTTAGAAAACAAAGTGAGAAGATTAGCCCACAAGAAGTAGTGATAATTGGCCGTTGGTGGTGAAAAGTAATGGTTGAAAGTGGCTGTCAACTCTGAGAGGCTTGGTTTGCATAATTTATTAAAATTAAAAAGTTATTAAAAAAAGCAAATAGAGTTAAAAATTTCATATTATTTGGAAAAGTTTGTGGGAAGCTTGGAGAGGACTTTAAATTTAATTAGCCAAAAGTTATAAAGTCAATAAAGGTAAAATGGTCATTTTGATTTTATTATAATATTTTATTACATATGTTTTTTTAAAAAGTCAAAAAATTATTCGATATGTACATATTTTTTCTTTATTTTTTTAGTCAAAAAATTAAAAAGTATATTTATATAGCATATCCTTAATCAAATTTAAATTTAATAAAAATTTTGGTAAAAATAAAGTCTAATCATTTGATCAAATTTATATTAAATCAAGTGAGAAACAAATTTGAGTTTATTCCGGCTCAAGAAGAGATAGTTGCTTCGGCCCAAGGAAGAGTAAGGCTACTCCGATCCAGAGACAACTCGGAGTAGGTCCGGTCTTAGAGTTAGTCCGGTCGCAGTATGTTCTGGGAGGACCGGTTTCAGAGTTAGTCCGGTCGTGACACGATCTGGTTAGGTCGGTCAAAACTTGTCACTTGGAAGTCTGATCTAAGCACACCAAGGTTGAACAGGGGCAGCCGAAGTAATGAGTTAAAGGAGAAGACCGAGCTAAGGATAGTTCGGCCTTCTCTATGGCTCAGCATAGCCCGTGTTATTTCGGCCGTGTGATAGTTCGGCTATGAAGAAAACCATCCCACTTGGTTTAAGCAGTGGGGGAGGGTGTAAAAGGATAAGCATTATCCTTAGGAGAATGAATCCTAGGAGGACTCTGCATGGAGAAATACAAGTCCTACTAGGATTGTGCCACGGGAAACTTATAAAAGCTCACAAGCATCACCTTGGAGGAGGTAATTGAACACAATCTTTCTGAGAACTTAGAGCTTTGTCTATTTGTCAAGTTTTCTGACTTAGGCATCGGAGAGGTTTCCGGCACACACCCGCCGGCTAGCTCACGTTTGTGTTTTCAGGTGACAAATCGACGTCGTACGGAGAAGCGTGGACTTGGTCAACAGGATTATACGAGGAGAATTGTTTCCTCCCCGTACAGATATGTACATATTTTTTCTTTATTTTTTTAGTCAAAAAATTTAAAAGTATATTTATATAGCATATCTTTAATCAAATTTAAATTTAATAAAAATTTTGGTAAAAATAAAGTCTAATCATTTGATCAAATTTATATTAAATCAAGTGAGAAACAAATTTTCATCAAATCAATAATGGACTAGATTTTTTATCAAATTTTTAACATGTCTTTTTTATTTCAGTTTGATGCAATTGTTGAAAGACGAAAGATGGGAGTTGATTGTTTTTTTCCCACCAAAATTGATGAAAAGAGAGGATGGACAGTGATTTGATTCGAGCTGGGTAATTGTTTTTTGGGACAATTAAAGAAAAAGAAAAATCTCAAAATTTAAACTTGTATACTAACAAAATAAATTTTTAATTTTTAATTTTATCAATTTAAATTTTAATCTTTGATTTGTTTTTTATCTAAGTCATTCGTCTATTTTTAAGTAAAACTAACAAAAAAATTTAGTCATTAAATTCAATGTGTATACATAAAATGTCTAAAATATTTTTTTTCAGCCTATCTTGGGACCTTTTGAACTGCTGCTGAATCCACAGGTAGACAAGAGACAACCTGGCGAACTGAAACATCTTAGTAGACAGAGAAAAAGAAAGCAAAAGCAATTCAGTAGAGTGTCATCTTGATGTGTTAGAAGTCATCAGTTCAAGCCTGATTATCCCTAAACTCAATGTGAGTTTTTCTATTTTGACTTGCTGCCCCGGCCATGATTGAATGAGAATGGATAAAAGGCTCGTGGGATTGACGTGAGGGGGCAAGGATGGTTATATTTCTAAGAGCGAACTCCGGGCGAATGTGAAACGCATGGATGCAAGTTATGCCTTGGAATGAAAGACAATTCCGAATCTGCTTTGTTGACGAGCAAGGAAGTTATAAGTAATGCAATTAGGAATCTCATGGAGAGTTCGATCCTGAAAAAAACCGATTTTTTTGATTTCTTAAAAAATATTTAGAAAAGTAGGGACGTAATGTAACCTAAATAAGCCAATAAATTGATTTTTTTTCTTAATTGTCAAAATAAGGCTTAAGTTTAATATTAAATTATCATTTTTTTTCTATCGATTTTATTAATAAAAATAGATGAATAATTTAAATTGGAAAAAAATAAAAAAATTAAAATTAAAATTTTAAAATTTAACTTGTTATAGGGATCAAATCATGTGATCAATTTTTTTTTTTTTTTTTTTTTTTTGTGTTGTTGTTGTTGTTGTAATTTTATTTCATTTTTTGTGAGGTGGATAATTAATTCAAGTGAAATTAAGATTGCATTTGGTAGAATTTTAAAATTACAATTTGAGAATAAAGTTGTATTTTGAGTTTGTAAGTTTTAGAAATATGATTTGAGTATAAAAAATTTGTTTAGTTATGAGTTTTAAAAAGAGTTTTAAATTGAGTTTGAATTGAGTGATGTGCCATATGATATGTGATTCTGAAATTTACAACTCATAACTAAACACACAATTCAAAATTTTATTCAAAACTCATAAAAAAAAATTAAAAATTATTTAAAATATAAAAATAATAGGTGCAAAAAAAAAATCCAAACACTGTTCTGGTCTACCAGGCAAATGTTCGAAGGGATATCCAAGAGAATGACCGAGTAAACGTATTTTAAAAAGTGAGTGTTGAATCAATTTTTTAAACACCGTAAACAAATACTATATTGAAACCAAAGAGTGAAATCACACTTTGAAACTAAACAAAGGCTAATTTTTTTTTTTTTTTTTTTAACAACAAAGTTAGATGGTCTGAAAAATCATCACTCAAATGGCTCGAAACATCCAAAATAACATCATTTTAAGTGTAAAACAATATCGTTTTGACACATTCAAATAATTCGAGCAACAAAAATTCACGCTATCGATATTTTTTTTTCTTAAGTATGGCCTCCTCGCCACAATGAGTGCGAAGCTACGCACACCGCACTAGCCTCCCGTCCATTCGCCTATCGGCGCCGTACATTCCATCCCATCATCAATCTGGCAATCCGTCTTCCCCAACGAGCCCATCGCTTGCTATAAGACCGAGCAGGCTCTCTGAATTGGGCGTGAATCCCAAGAAGAAATTTGAGTGTGCAAAGCGAAGTCATCAATATTATGGCTGAAATAGCGACTGAGAAAGCCAAAGGGAAGGTACAAGTGTTCGATTCCGAGGAAGCCCTAGCGGTGTCTTTGGCCAAATACACCGCCGATCTATCTGATAAGATTTCCAAACAAAAAGCTGCTTTCACTGTCGTTTTGTCTGGAGGTTCTCTCATCGAATGGCTCAGGTGACAATTTTTATTTTATTTTATTTTTGATTTTTTTTTTCTGTTTGGTTTCTGAGAAAAAAGGTGGGAAATTGGAATACGAGATTGTAATTGTCGTAGAAAATAATTGATAATTCAGGAAATTACTAGAACCTCCGTACATTGATTCGGTGGAGTGGTCGAAATGGCATATATTTTGGGTGGATGAGAGAGTGGTTCCTAAGGATCACGAAGATAGCAATTACAAGCTCGCCTACGATGGTTTTCTATCTAAGGTATATTTGCTCCAACACCTGTTTCTACCTAACGTTAACAAGATAGCTCTATAGCCTGAATTGTGCTATTTTTTTATTTGTACTTAAGTCAATTGATTGATATGTGCCAATAAGCATTTTTGTTTGTTTGTGCATAGACGTATCTTTTGAGTTTGTATTTGTCAAATTGTGAACCCTCTTTATTGGTTTGGAGCAAATGCTTAAGTTGGTGTTGAATTATGACTTGTTCAGTTTGTAAATCTTGTGTGAAGGTCATTAATTTCAACTTCATGTCTTTTCTACCCAAAAAATAAAAAAACAATAAAAAATAAAAAAGAGAAAAGAGAAAAACTGAATTATAAGAAGGATGCGAACATTGCTAAAGATGGATTTTTCTTTACAGAAAAATATTTTTGAAAGAAAAATTCAATCTTCAAATGAAGTGTCACTGGTATTCATTTAAAGAAAATAGACTATGTTGGTCATGTTTGTTTGGACGGCATGATCTTCTTGGGATTAGATTAATAATCCCACAAAATCTATAATTTGACGGTTGGCAAAGAAAATTGGGATCTGGACTAATTGTCCATCAGGACATAGTATACCTCATATGGGGACTATTGAATAGCAAGAGTGAGGTGGGATACAAAATAGGAGACTAAGGAGGTCGAATCGGACCAATTAGTGAAATTTCAAAATTGATATAATTTTGTCAATCCCTTCTCATCCAATCCAAACATGGAATAGGATATACAATCCAAAAAGATTAATAATCCTAGGTAGGACTAATAGTACTAAGCATGCCAATCTATCTAATCCAATCCATCTTAACAAATATGACCATGTCTGTCTCTTACACCATTCCACAATCTTCAGCCTGAATTTGCTGTCCATCCAACAGGCAACAGCACTGGAATAACAATTATGCCTATATGATTTCTTTTTTGTTTGTCTGATTGCCATGGCAATTATTGTCATCACTCTTTGTTCTAGACATCAGGCAAGAGGAGACCCACCATCATGTTCATATGAATGCTTTTTGGTGACACCGAAAGCTTAAGGTTTCTATTTTTTGCCTGATTGCCTCTAGTACTTTATCTCTAATGTTATTATATCTAACCATTCTATGATTTATGTTTAAGTTAATTTAATGGAAAATCAATTCATGTAAGAGTTTGAAATCAAAGCTGTCAGTTTTGTTTTGGTTTGATATTGAAGAAACAAAGCCCTCTATTTTTTTCACTGAGATCTCACCAACACGCCATTAGTTTGAATGGTATCTTCTACTAACCCCAAAGACGAGGAGCAGGCTTCAAATCCCTGTGTGTGTGTGTGTGTGTGTGTGTGTGAGAGAGAGAGAGAGAGAGAGAGAGAGAGAGAGAGAGAGAGAGAGAGAGAGAGACAGACATGCTGCTGTATCAAATACAAGATAAACATGCTGTTGTATCGGACTTGCTTTGTGCGATCCTTCTTGAAGGGAAGTTGCTGAGGGTAAGACTGATGTTTCTCTCTCACTGTAAGGAATTTGATGCCAAAACCAATTGGAAAAGTAAAACAATGAAAAATAATCCTACACTACACCAATGTTTGCACATAGGTGGCCGTCTTTTGATTGGCTAAACACAAACTTTTGCACAATTGTTTTTTTCTTAACATTCCCTCTCCCCATTGTTCCTTAAGCAACACCGTGAGACAGGGACCTTTCAGCCACCAACTTACCATCACTTTGTCACCATTTGTTTCTGTACCAACAACATGCTGCCAAGCCTTCCGTAAACCACCATTCTCTCTCTCTCTCTCTCATCTGATTTTGACAAACAATCAAAAAATTGCCAACCATCATCTCTATTGCAAACGGCTGCCATCACTGCAGTTTCTGGTCCGCATAAATATCAGTAATCTGATATACCAAAACCCAGAAACTCAATGTCTTTTGGTATCAATGTGGGGGCAGTGAAGTGTAGCTACTGACCTTATGGTTTCGTCACCTTCGTCGTGGGTTCAATCCCCGACAAACCCATCCCTTCCCCCCACTAACTTACAACCTACTGATATATTTCCAAGAGCCCAAAAGAACCAAAATAAAAAATAAAAAAAATTGATGTTTTGCTTTTGAGTACAGATCACTAAAATTGGAGTATCAGTATTCGGCAAAAGATATACTGCTCAGAAGTTGTGCAGTCGTTGTGTTCTTTTTTTTTCTTTTTTTTCCTGTTCTCTTTTTATAGCTTACTTTCTTCTGTATCTAGTTTTTACTTATCCATAATGACTACAAAAAACTGAAATCTAAGATACTGGTGAGACGACCATACTACCCTTTTATGGTTAGTCCACTTATGACACTACTAAATGCCATTCTTCAATACTTTCAGTAATGTAAACTCTTCTCCTCTTTCCGGGAATTTGGCAGGTATCAATACCTGCTGGGAATGTATATGCAATCAATGATGCACTATCGGCAGAGGGTGCAGCTGACGACTATGAGACTTGTCTTAAACATTTGGTCCAGACAAGCACAATACATTTGTCTCAGGCTACAGGGTTTCCAAAATTTGATCTCATGCTACTGGGAATGGGCCCAGATGGACATGTGGCTTCGCTATTTCCCGGGCATCCTCTGGTCCAAGAGAACAAGAAGTGGGTGACATTTATCAAGGACTCACCAAAACCACCTCCTGAGAGGATTACTTTCACCTTCCCGGTAATCAACTCCTCTGCAAATATTGCACTTGTGGTAGCAGGGGCCGGTGAAGCCCATGCAGTGAACGTGGCATTGGGTAATAGTCAGAATTCTGATTTGCTTCCCGTTCAAATGGTTTCACCCGAAGGTGAGCTGACCTGGTTTTTGGATAAGGAAGCAGCTTCGGAGCTGTAGTGCTGGTCATGCCTTGAGCTTTATAAGTTGATACATATGATAAAATAGCATGTCTATCTTGTATTTGATGACCTGATCAGCTAGCTTGTAGATGTATTAGAGGAATTTCCAAGTTGTTGATGACCGGTGAGGTTTTTCTTCATCCTCGGTAGTGGTTAGAGTATTTGAATAAAGTTGCACCTAGAAAATAATGTCATGAAATTTCCTTTAAATTTCCTATTAGTGTAATCTGTGCTTTTTTTACTTCCTAGGGTTTGCATATTTTGTTTTCTATATTTTCATTTACTGTTGATTAGCTTTCTTGATGTTAATGTTCGGTCATGATTGATGGGCTATTTCTGAAATCAGCAAAGAGATGACTAACTCACATACATGTCAAAAAACTGAATGGTTATTTGTATGATGAATAGTTTGAATAATTCTTTGTGCAGAAAACTGAAACTACTATTTTCCATTCTTCTCGTCTATGTTGATGACATGCTTGAAATGATGCTTCTCATATTCAAGCATTAATTAAGCATTTGCATTCTGTGTTTTCCATGAAGGAATTGGCCCAAATGAGCTCACGAGTTAAGCCTAAGGGATCGATATTCAAAATTAATTTAAGGCTTTTTTTTTTTTTTCCTTCATTTTTTTTGTTTTATGAGCTCGCAGGCCAGGAATGAACACCAAGATCGAGCCCAAGTCCAGCCTTAATTGGGCTTGCCTAGCCGCGGGCCAATTGATAAGCCTTACCGACAGATGTCAATTTCAAACCGTGAGATAATCAACCAATTTAGGGAGGCTTGATGGGTGACACAGGCCAATAATCTTTGCTACTTGTGCGAGGGGTTACACGAATGAGATGTGTATTGCGTGTTGTGTTTGTGATGTGTTGTCACTATCCGTTTACGACTTTTGCTTTACCAGATACAAGACGACGAAGCTCGCCTTTGACCTCCTTCATGCAAATTTTCAACACCTACCCCTTTTTTAAAAGGATTTTTCCTTGGTAGACGCTTTTTTAGTGAAAAATGTAGTCTCAATTTATTTATTTATTTTTTTAAACCTCCTCAAGAACATACGTTTCCTGTGTGAATGATAATTTTTTTAATTTATAAACCTCCTCAAGAACATACAACAATGGCGTTGGTGGGTCTGGGCTATATTTTGTTTCAGATATGATTTTGATTAGATCTTTTTTTTTTCAAACCACATGTGAGAAGATTGGCGATTTTTACTCTTTTTGGTAATTTTTGTATTTTATTGATTATAGTTTGTGTCAGGTTTCTTGTTTAGTCCTTCGGCACCTTCTTCTTGTTCTTATTCGTACATTTTATTTATTTTATTTTAATATATCTGTGTTTAACTGTTCTAAATATATATATATATATACATATACTGTGTATGGTTGTGATTTGTTTGTGGGATAAAACTCTTATCAATTTTTCATTTGTTTCAAAATGTGGGATAAAATTTGCACACTTTACAATAATTGTATATAGACTATACACTACTTTTTTGAGAAAAAATTCTTTAACGCTTTTTCATGATTTAACTATTTTTTTATTATAAAAACAAAACTAGTAGGTGTTTTTAATATTGCATATCATTTATTTCATAACACTTTGTTATATTATTTTAAAAAATTATAGTGATACTACACGTATCAATTATTATACCAATTAGTATAACAACAGATGTAATAATACTGTCACTTTTAAAATTATAGATTCCATCCATTATACAAATTACAAAGACTTAAATTTTGTTTCGTATAATATGAGACCCAATTTGTTTATTAAAAGAATATTAATTTGGTTTAGTGTTGATTATAATATATTTTTTTATATATATTATATCTAACTTGTAGAGACCTAATGGACATTTTTAACCTATTTAGTAACAGTTAAGGTTTTGATAAAAAATTCAAGAATCAACATCATCTTTTTTGTATTGTTTAATTTGCATGGTGCTGCAATTGATCTACATCTTTGGATGGTGTGTGCTTGGTAATCAATTTTGGTGAGATAAAGCTTGCAGCGAAATTCAATTCGGCAATATACAAAGCTGCTGTGTGAGTGTTTTTGGATGTATTCAATTCGGTGGAGTTCAACTTCAAAAGGATTAATTTTAGTTGTACTCTGCAGTGTTAGTGGACGCTAGTTTGATGAAAATTTATGGTTTTTTATACTCTGGCCTCGTTTGGGAACCATCTTTTTTAGTTAAAAAGTCAAAAAGTTACTAAATTAGTCAAAAAGCTAACAACCCATACCAAAAAGTCAAAGATTCTCTTTTCTCTCTACTTTTTGCACATATTTTCATAAAAAGCTAAAAAGTCATCCCAAACATACTAGTTTTTTTTAGCTCATATTTTAGCCAAATAGCCAAAAAGTTACTAAATTAGTCTGTTCCCAAACGAGGCCTCTGTTTCGAAGATAATTTGTTTATCTATTTGGTAAGGTCTTTTTTTTATTTATTTGTGATTATTTGGAATTCACTTAAGAGTGATTTGTGAGACCATTCGTGTCTCGTTTGTAATCGTTTGAACACTCTTGGTTGATAATAAAATCAAATTTTGGTCCCGTAGACATATCTCACACTAAGGAAACCACGTAAAAATTCTTGTGTCGTCGATTTAATTTTTTCGCATTATTTTTGTTTCTTTTGATTGACTTACTTGTGGGAAATCATCTATTTTTCCTAATAACTGGTATCAGAACTTACGATTTATTTAGATTTATTTATTTGTATAAATCAATGGAGGGGCATGTGGGTCGTACAAGTAGCTTTAATGGAAGTAATTAGGTAACTTAGAAAATTACAATGGAAGACCTATTCTTTTGTAAAGATTTGTATGGACCCATTGAGGGTAATAGTAGCAAACTCGAGGGTATGAAAGATGAAAAATGGAAAAGACTTAATCGAAAAGCCATTGGTGTTATCCGTCAATGGACTGATCATAGTGTGTCACACCCCAAATCCGGGCATGACCGGCCGTAGCCCACAGGGACTTAGCCCAAGGCATACGTAAGCCTAAACATGAATCCAAAACCATAAAGAATAAATGTCACGATAGCCCAAAAATAAATAAATCAACACTCAATCCAGTGACATACCACAAGTAAAAAACAAGTCATAACCAACTTCCTAAAAATGTATATATACTAAATGGGACACAAACCGCCCACAAAATAAAATAATTCTGAATAAAACCCAACCACAATGTATGCACAAATCTTGACAAAACAACCTAAAACAAATTAAATAAATGCCCTAGAGGTCCATGCAATTGAGTCCCCGCTACGCCATGAGTCCACTCTAAGTCCTTCTAACACTTGGAAATGGTAAACAACTAAGTCAGCTGATAGCTCAGTGAGTAGCAACATGGATAGTAAATACAGTTTTGAAAACAGGGTTCAATTCCAAAATAAGATATATATCACAGAAACTAGATTGGCATACAGTTTGGTAAATACAATCTGTTTCAAAAAGAAGGTTCCACAATTCAACACTTAAAATACTCATGTCTCACAAGAACATGATAAACGACATTTTCCACTTAAAATAGATTATAACGTGAACACCAATAATTTTCTGGGTATCAAGAAAAACAAATAATATGCCACACAGTTCTCAAGGCTATAAGCCCCGTTGGATCCAATACTAAACTAAGAGTCATCCTTAGGGTGGCACCTGGGCTTTTTCTCAAAGACGATCCGATTGAAGGTCACCTAGTTGTTTTTAAAGGTCTTTTCCTTACAATCGTTGAGTACTAGAGTCATCACGGCCCAACCCGGATCTATTCCCTAGTGGCCAGAGTCACCACACACAGTGGAATAATTTCCCTAGACTAAATACACACATTGTCCCAATAATCAATACACATCAGTTTCGTAAAACATGGTAGTTCATCATTATAAACATGAGACCAAAACAAATAGTTTACAATATGCCAAGTTCACACATGTTTCAGAAATAATTTGATTCAATTGATAATATAATTATTTATCAAAACAGTTTAATCATGAAATAACAATTTAATTTTCCAATAGTTTAGGGTAGGGGAACATTTATAAAAATACGTAGCATGAAACTACTCACTTGAAAACGAAATAATATAATCCTCGAATAGAGTGTAAAAGTCCAACTAGTACCCTGAACCAAGTATGAAAACTACACGTCACAACTAATTTAAAAATACTAAAAAATAGGAACTAAGTAACCTCAACTAAAGCGCACTAACACGGCTCAACGAAACTCACCGTTACTCTTAAATATTACCTAAGTTCATGTTCTTCAAGGTTTAAAATCACCCAAGACATGGCTTCCGGTCAAAACTTAATTAATTGTGACTTAAGATAAAACAGAATTTCAAACAAGCCTTCCCAACCTATTCGCTAACTTTGAAAATTACAAAACCCACTCTACGCTATTTGAAAAATTCCAATAACCTCCAGATATGATCTAATATATCCTAAGTTTCAAACCCAATTGGTTTCACTTGATTTGCTTATCAAAGTAATTATCTACAATTTATTATATCCAAATAGGTTATTTTCTGCAGCACTTTAAAGAAATTGACGGTTCTCTTAATATACACGAGCAATCAATGCAAGGATAAAAAAGTACAAAACTAGACTCATAACCGGTTCTAATGACACTAATTTGATAACTTTTGGATTTATACCCAAAGGGAACAATACTCCCGAATTTACTGTTTCGGACTGGTTTCCTGGACAGATTTGAATACCTCAATTTATATGGATTTTTACTCCCAAAAATTATGAAAAAATTCAAATATGCAATTCAATATGTAATTGATCTACTGTAAAAATTTCAGTTCAAAATTCATCCGTTTGATATGGTTTCTTAATTTTTAAAGTTCGTGATTATGCGCAGAATTTTTTAACTAAGAATAATACCCATTCTTTATACATGAATTTAACTCCTCAAATTTCTTAACAGTATATATATATACAAAATATATAAACCTACAACCTCCATGAATGAATAAAATAATAATGGAATAAGAATAAAAAAAAAACAAAAGGAAGAAGAAAGATAAAGACCCACCACACCCAAAAATTCCTCCTTGTTTGCAACCCTTCTTTTCTCTTCTTCTTTTCTCTCAACCTTTCTCTCTCTCCCGTGGTGGCTCTCTGCTGTTATGAATAGTATGAGGCAACCTAGGGTTACATATGTATCTACACAAAAAGGCCCTAAAATATTATCTTTATATTACTTTATTTTCTAACACATTAATTAAATAAAATATAACTATTATTATAACAAAATATACTTACTAACTTGCCCTCAATATTTTTAAATA